TGTATGATTTTCTAAAGTATGTGTCCCAAAAAATTTATCTGGCAGTCTGCCTACCCATTAATAAGGGGGTGGGTGCATTTCCGCTGCCTAAACTCTGTACCAATATTTGTATAATATCTTTGCAAATATACAGTAATTATTTAAAAATTACTTCTGTATTTTCTATCCCTCAGAGATAGGTGGTTTCTCTAAAAAAGGGTATAAAAGCTGTGCTGCCAAGTACTTTAATTTTTCCATTTGCTGCATGGTAAAAATACATAAATTGTAAGTTAAAATCTGCTTATTCTCTTGTTCTCACACATAGTAGACAGTCTGAAAACAAGGTTTTTTTTTTTTTAAATGGTGAGCATCGAATATGTAAAAATTTGTCCTTCCTCAAGCTATTAAAAAGGAAGTCCATTTTTTAGGGGGAAAATTCTAATCTGGTTACTCTCTCCCTCATAGACTGCAACCTTGGCAATGAGGGTTTTAAAGCTGCGTTGCAAAGATGTATGCTGTATGCAATTTCTATGTAGAATGCCTGCCTGCTCTATACCTTCAAAATTTGGAACTGCCCACACTGTTTGCTAGTTGTATTGAGAAACTGTGCTTTTTTCATGCTGAGTGTGCAAAAAAAACACAAACACACACACTAATTGTTTCTTTTCTGCTCATAAATACCTGCTCAATCTCTCAGAGTTTGCAGACTGTTTAAACAGGCTAGCTAGCTATGGTGAAGACCTGTATGCTATTTATATTATCAGTGTCAATTTTTTTTTTCTTCAGTTGCTAAATGTCTGCTCAAGCTCTTAGAAATTGTGGCCTGCCCAAACAGGATTTTTAGCTGTGGTGCAAACCTGTATGTATGCTATTTCCTTTCTCGGTGTCCAAAAAAAGTCACTAATATTTATTTTTTGATGAACACTAAATGCCCAATTCAATATCTTAGAAAATGCTCCAGTTCAAAAATGCTTTCTAGATGTGGTCCAAACCTGGGCATGTGCCATTTTTTTCTTTTCACAGATGCTAAATGACTGGCAGAAAAATGTGGCATATTTTGTTCATCTTTATTGTTCCAAAGAACAGATAAATTTTGTATTTGAAGGTGATACCTGATTTTTCTTTCTGTTTCAGAAATAGCAGCCTATATACAGTATCATAAAGCACAAAAATAACATGTGAATAAATGTGAATAAAAACTCAACAAAGGTGAAACAAATAAAGTCCAAAGAAAGTTCTTTTTTTTTTTTATTAATATTTTATTGAGTTTTACATTTCATCTATTCCATCCATTAAAAAAGGATTCTATATAAAACTTATTCAATTATTTTCATTCAAAATACAAAATTACAAAACCTCCCCTACCCCCAGTTATTTCTTGTATCTGATGAATTATTTCTTCCCAATATTTTTTAATTTTGTGACACTCCCACCAAATGTGACCTACTGTGGCCTGTTCCCACAACCCCTCCAACATAAAGGTGATTTTATCTCTATTTTGTTTGTGTACTATATTTGGTGTCATATACCACCTCGCTAAACATTTGTAATTCATCTCTACATCTTTCATACTCACATTCCTGTGTTGTTAACTTATTAAATCTTTTTTTGTGTATCTTCCTCTATCCTTATTCCTAATTCTCTTTCCCATCTCTCCATATATGCATGGACCGTGTTTGTTGTTAACTTAGTAATAATTTTATCTGTTTTCGAAGTTCCATGTTTCCCATCCCCCTGTGTACTAAACAAAATTTCAAATGGATTCCACTGTTCTTTCTTCCTTAGGGGCCTAGGGAGTTTTTCTATGAAATGTCTCATTTGTAAATACCGCCACTCATCTACTTTGATGAACAACTCCTTCTTTTTCATTTCTATACTAGGGGGCAGATTTCCTCGCCTTTCATTAGGTCTCTTAATTGAGCACCTCCTTTTCTTATCCATCTCCCTGCAACTTTTCCATTCACTGGTGGGAAGAAATCTGTGTTTACGATAGGCATCAACATTGAGTTAAATTCCCCATCCCATCTGTTTGTGCATTGTGTCCTACACTCTCAAAACAATTCTTGTAAATATACTTATGCTGTCTATCATTCCACGACAATGAGGTGGTAACCATAATATCTTATCCAAATGTGTTTTACTTAATGTGTTTTTTATATTTATCCAACTTTTATGTGTTCAGTCAAAATTTGCACTATCAATACTGAGTTATAATACAGTTTGCAAGAAAAAGTATGTGAACCCCTTAGGATTACGTGGAGTTTTTGCATGAATTGGGCATAAAATGTGCTCTGAACGTCATCTAAGTCACAACAATAGAAGAACACAGTCTGCTGAACATAATACTACACAAACATTAGATGTTGCCATGGTTTAATTGCACATAACATGTAAACATTCACAGTGCCGAGAGGAAAACGTATGTGAACCTTTGGACTTAATAACTGGTTGACCCTCCTTTGGCAACAATAACCTCAACCAAAACGTTTCCTGTAGTTGCAGATCAGACCTGCACAACGATCTGGAGTAATTTTGGACCACTCCTCTTCACAAAACGGTTTTCAGTGTAGCAATATTCTTGGGATGTCTGGTGTGAATCGCTCTCTTAAGGTCATGCCACAGCATTTCAATCGGGTTGAGGTCAGGACTCTGACTGGGCCACTCCAGAAGGCGTATTCTGTGCTGTTGCAGCCATTGTTTTGTTGAATTACTTGTATGCTTTGGGTCATTGTCCTGTTGCATCACCCATCCTCTGCGGAGCTTCAGTTGGCGGACAGATGGTCATACGTTTTCCTGCAAAATGTCTTGATAAACTCTGGAATTCATTTTCCCATCAATGACAACAATCCGTCCAGGCCCTAAGGCAGCAAAGCAGCCCCAAACCATGATGCTCCCTCCGCCATGTTTTTACAGTGGGGATGAGGTTTTGATGTTGGTGTGCTGTGCTTTTTTTTTCTCCACATATAGTGTTGGGTGTTCTTCCCAAACAACTCAATCTTGGTTTTATCTGTCCACAGTATATTTTGCCAGTAGTGCTGTGGAAGATCCTGGTGCTCTTTTGCAAACTTCAAACGTGCTGCAATATTCTTTTTGGACAGCAATGGCTTCCTCTGTGGTGTCCTCCCATGTACTCCATTCTTGTTTAATGTTTTCCTTATTGTAGATGTGTCAACAAAAATGTTAGCATGTGCCAGAGATTTCTGTAGGTCTTTAGCTGACACTGGGATTCTTCTTTACCTCATGCAGCATTCTGCGCTGTGCTCTTGCAGTCATTTTTACAGGACGACCACGCCTAGGGAGAGTAGCAACAGTGCTAAACTTTCTCCATTTATAGACAGTCTGTCTTACCATGGACACATGAACATCAAGGCTTCTGGAGATACTTTTGTAACCCTTTCCAGCTTCATGCAAGTCAACAATTCTTGATCGTAGGACTTCTGAGAGCTCTTTTCTGCGAGGCATGGTTCACATCAGACAGTGCTTCTTGAAACCAGTAAACCCAAAACAGGTGTGTGTTTTTTAAGGGCAGGACAGCTGTCAGCACACATCCAATATCATCACACTGATTGGAGTCAAGGTTGGCTCACTTCTGGCTCCAATTAGCTCTGGGAGAAGTCATTAAGCTAGGGCCTCACATACGTTTTCCTCCCTGCACTGTGAATGTTTACATGTTATGTGCAATTAAACCATGGCAACATCTAATGTGTGTGTAGTATTATGTTCAGCAGACTGTGTTCTTCTATTGTTGTGACTTCGATGACGTTCAGAGCACATTTTATGCCCAATTCATGCAAAACTCCACGTAATCCCAAGGGGTTCACATACTTTTTCTTGCAACTGTATATTCAAGATTTCTGTTTTAGTTGGATTAATTTTTAGGTTAGACCACTCCCCATATTCCTTCAGTGTTTTCAATAAATTGGGTAATGTTAAGCTTGGGTTATCTACATAGAACAGCAAGTCATCGGCATATGCCTCTACTTTATGCTCTATCTCTGCTATCCAGATTCCCTTAATATCTATGTTTTTTTCCTTATTTTTGCTAGGAGGGATTCTAAGGAGAGGACAAACAACAAAGGTGATAATGGAATGGGTATCCCTGACGGGTCCCATTATACATCTTAAAGCTCTCTGATATTTCCCCATTAACCTTTATTGCAGCAGATGGGTGACTGTACAATTTCCTTATCCATGTTCTCATTCTAGGGCCCATCTCCAGAACTTTCAGTGTATCCAACATATACCCCCAGTCTAATCTGTCAAATACTTTCCCAGCGTCTACCGACAATAACAAAACAGGGAATTTTTCTCTTTTACTTTTTTTGTATAAGCAATATTGATCTTAATCCATTATCCCTACCCTCTCTCCCAGGGACAAACCCCACTTGATCCATATGGATCCACTCCGGCATTAAATCCTTGAACCTATTTGCTAAAACTTTTGCATATAGTTTAGTGTCTATATTTAGTAAGGATATCGGTCTATAGCTAGAGCATTGTGTACTATCTTTACCTTCTTTTAGATTTATTGTAATATGAGCCTGCAGGGATTCCTCCCTCATTTCCATCACCTTCCCAATGCATTCATATATATACCGTATTTGCCGGCGTATAAGACGACTTTTCAACCCCTGAAAATCTTCTGAAAAGTCGGGGGTCGTCTTATACGCCGGTATACGGCGAGCCGGTGTGTCAGGGCGGCACTTTTTCCAGGGGCGGTGTCCTCCAACAGACACTAAGTAAAGGGGTGGGCAGAGGGGCTGCTGTACCTTACCTGGCTCCGGTCCAGGTCCCACGATGATCCGGTCCAGGAAGCGAGGCTGCTCCTTCTTTAAGTTCGGCCGCTCGATGGTCGCGCGGCCGGTCGGCTCCGCCTCCTCACCGGTGATTGGGCGCCAGCGCACACAGGCGACCAATCACCGGCGAGGAGGCGGAGCCGAATGGCCCCGTGAAAATCAAGCTGCCGAACTGAAAGAAGGAGCAGCCGCTCCTCTCCCCCACTGACACTAACGATGGGGCACTATTCCTCCTCCACACTGACACCAATGATGGGGCACTATTCCTCCTCCACACTGACACCAATGATGGGGCACTATTCTCCCCACTGACACCAATGATGGGGACACTATTCTCCCCACTGACACCAATGATGGGGCACTATTCCTCCCCCACTGACACCAACAATGGGGCACTATTCCTCCCCCACTGACACCAACGATGGGGCACTATTCCTCCCCCACTGACACCAACGATGGGGCACTATTCCTCCCACTGACTAATGATGGGGCACTATTCCTCCCACTGATACCAATGATGGGGTGCTATTCCTCCCACTGACACCAATGATGGGGCACTATTCCTCCCACTAATACCAATGATGAGGGCACTATTCCTCCCACTGACACCTAAATGATGGGGGCACTATTTCATCCACTGACACCAATGATGGGGCACTATTCCTCCCACTGACACTAATGATGGGACACTATTCCTCACACACTGACACTACTGATGGGGCACCATTGGTATCAGTGGGAGGAATCATGCCCCATCATTGGTGTCAGTGGGAGGAATAGCACCCCATCATTGGAATACCATACTGAAATAGCATACCATATTGAAATCAAATCTGATGTTTTTTCATTTTTATTTGGTGTGTGTTGGAAGAGGGGTAGTCTTATACGGCGAGTATAGCTCATATATATTTTAACAGGAAAAGTAGGGGGTCGTCTTATACGCCCAGTCTTATACGCCGGCAAATACGGTACTCAATTTAAGTATTAACTGATCTTTAAATTTCTTATAGTAGCTCACAGTATATCCGTCCGGGCCCAGACTTTTCCCTACCCTAGTACTCTTCAATGCACTTTGAATTTCTTCTTCTGATATTGATCTCTCAAGGGATATTAACTGCTCTGCCTCTTTTAGGTATATCTGTCTTTTTTTACTCCTTTCTTCCTCTTCCCTTATGGACCGTTGAGGATTTATATTATATAACTTACTATAATAATCTTTAAACACTTTTGCAATATTTTTGGTAGAATATTTTAGTTCGCCTTTATTATCTCTTATTTTCTCTATATAGTTCTTACCTTTCTTTTTTCTTTGAGCTGTCATTAACCATTTTTCTGGTCTATCTCCCCCTTGATATCTTTCACTAATCATCTTATTAAACATTCTGCTTTTTTTTTCTTGCTCCATTAAGTTATTTAGTTCTTCTCGTTTTTCCAATACATTCTGCTTAATCTGTTTTGTTATTTTCTTTTTATGTTCCTGTTCTAATTCAAATAATTCTCTATGAAGCGTGTTAATTCTCTCTTTTCCTTTCCTTTTTCTTCTTTGCCCCAATCACAATTAGGATTCCTCTAATATAGACCTTATGGGCTTCCCACACAGTCACTATCGACACCTCTTCAGTCTCATTTCTTTCAAAATGTTGTTCTATTTCTCCTTTAATTGTCTGTTCCATCTCCTGATCTTGAAGAAGTGTCTCATTTAATCTCCACATCAGGGGAGGACTGAGAACTCATGGGGCCCCTGGGCAATAGGGGATCATGGGGCCCCTGTGTCCTCACCCACACTCAAACCACACCCAAAAAAGCCTATGAAAGGTACTAGGGGCATCTCATGGGGCCCCCTACTGACCCTGGGCCCTCGGGCAGTGCCGAGTGCTCGAATGGTCAGTCCACCCCTGCTCCACATGTTTATCTTTTTATGTTCTCTTCCCCGAATTAACCTCATTGTAACAGGTGCATGATCCGATAATGTTATAACTTCTATCTTTGCTTTTACCAGAGACTCTACAAGTCTGTGATCTAATAATATATAGTCCAATCTTGAGTACGTCTCATGTGCATGAGAGTGGAATGTATAGTCTCTGTCAATTAAGATTTTTAATTCTCCAACTATCCACCAACTGACATTGTTGTATTGTTTTCCTTAATACTTTCAAATGTTTATTACCCTCTCTCAGCACGAGATGTCATATCCATCTGTGGTTCCATGCAACAGTTAAAATCCCCCGCCACAATTAGTTTGCCTTTTTTAAAATCTAATAGCTTCTTCAGAGTATTCTTTAGATAGACCTCTGTTTTTTTTATTAGGGCAATATATATTTGCTAATGTACATTCTACCTCTTGCAGTTTCCCCTTTAAGAATAAAAATCTCCCCTCCGGATCCTCCATTTTGTCTTCCAGACTAAACCTTATATTTTTCGCAAACCCAATTGCCACACCTTTAGCACATTTACTTGGGAAGTCTGCATAGTACCATGTTGGGTAGTGCTTAGAATATAATTTCACATTTGTTTCTTGTATTAGGTGGGTTTCCTGTATGAACACTACCTCAATAAATCTTTTTTGTATTTCTGTAAGTATATTGAATCTTTTCTCCCAACTATTAAACCATTTACCGTTATAAAGTCATAAAGTTAACCTCCTCCATTACAATATATATTTTTTGCATTCTTCCTTTCCCCCAGGTATTCCCTACTTCTCCTCTCTTTATGCCGAGTGTCCCTTTACCCTCCCCCCCAATCTCCCTCTCCCCCCCCTCCCATTACCCTCCCCTGTCACAAGTTAGCTTGCAGTCTCTGGTGTGTTTACACTTACCTCCATGCTGCTCTTGTTTCCTTCACATGTGTGTTGTTCTGTGCTCACCTATGGGCGTCGTCTGCTATTCCCTGGGTTTTACGTCCTTTCTTTCCATCACTTCCTGTCCCACCTCCTTGTCTGCCTGTCTAGTTAAGATGTGCCCAGACTCGGCCACATTGCCTGAGTAACGTTTGTTGTTGGAGCTCCCCTGTGTTCCTCTGAGAAGCAGTTTAAGTATATCTGTGTACTGACTCCGGCTTGTCCCTGACATTCCTCCTATATTGTCTTTCCGTGTACCGACCCTGGCTTCGTTTCTGACATTGCTTGTCTTCTGCCTGTCCTGACCTCAGCTTTCCAACTGGATCTCTGTCTACTCCTGGTGTACCCTGTCCCTCTAGCTGTCTCCTCTATCTCAGCTGGGTGTACCTGGGGACCGCGACCTGGTTCCAGCTTGCTCCAAGTCCATCCCCACCATCAGGGGCCCTGGTGAACAAGCAGGTTGGGGCTTAGATTCCACGCCCTGGGGAACCCCAAGCTGTGGTTTTATAGAGCTCACAACCATAGGTGCTGACTGTTTGCTCAGGCCATGAGCTCTTCGGAGACACCGCAGCCTGTCCTGGATCAACTTCAGGCTTTGGCGCTGAGAGTTGAGGTCCAACAGGCCAAGAACAAATCATGCGCTGTCTGCAGGAATTCTCGCCCTGGGGAACCCCAAGCTGTGGTTTTATAGAGCTCACTACCATAGGTGCTGACATCCCCCTCCCTTAGGCTACCTTGTTACCCTCCCCATCCCTTAGGCTATCTTTTTGCCTACAAATCATTTGTGGTCCTAATCCCATTTTAGATTCAACTTTAAGGTGGTACTCCGAACATGTACGATTCACCAGCCACCTATCCTTCTCCATGTCCTGCCAATCACTATTTCCAGTAGCAAATCTCCAACGACCTATATGAATGGACAAGGGTTGGAGGGAAAGCGAAAAAGAGGAGCGAAAAAAGGAGGAGGGGGGGAGTGAGAGAGAAAAAAAACACAAAAAGCACAATTCCCTTCTCTCCCCCCTCCCTCCTCTCTATTTCTCCTTCTAACTATTTGCCATTCCCCATTTCCAGTAGCCCCTATCTCTCCTTCCTCATCCTCCCACCCAGGTATCTCCATTCTCTGCAAACCAAGTCTCTCACAAAAGTCTCTCATATCTTCAGGAAATCTCAATCTTGCTGTACACCCATTTTTCCATCTGTATTGCACCTTTTGCTTCCTCATCTGCTCCAACAATGGTTTCAAAGATATCCTTCTTATCAATGTCTCTACTGCTATATCAGCAAAAATCTGAATATTTATTTCTGCACATTTCTTCCTTTGATCTTCTTCCATATCTCTTCTTTATCCCCATAATTATGGAATTTTACAATTACATCTCTCGATTTTTCTTTACTCTTTTCAGCTTGGGGCCTTCCTATTCTATATACTCCATCCAAATTAAGAGCCTCTGCTGCAGATCTGTCCATTATAGTATTCAACATTTTACATACAGTATTATACCAGTTAGGTCTTGTGAACTCTCTGGTACTCCCCTTATCCTTAGATTACCTCTCCTATCCAAGTTTTCTTGATCCTCCATTTTATATAGCAGCTTTCTTTGTTCTTTTCTCATTTTTATCGTCCATTTTTCTAACTTCCAAATATTTTGGGCATTTTTATTCACTTTTCCTTCCGTCTCTTCCACCCTAGATATTATTTGCCCCAAATCTTTCTGTATTATCGCCATCTCCTGTTTTATTGGTTTTTCAACACCTTTAAACATTTCTGCTATTTCTTTTTTATTTGGCATCTCTGTAGGTCATTGTCTTTTTCTCCCACTTCCATTCTTTCTTTTACTTGTTGACTGCTATTAGCCATTCCCAGCGATAGTCTAGGACTGTCTTCCACACTGATTTCCATCTCGCTTTCACATAATCCTTGTTGTCTTTCTGGGGTCAAATTCCCCTGTAGGGGTATATATTTTTTAATTGTACCTGTTAGGGAACCCTTGGGCCCACTTCCTTTGACCACTTTATTTTTCAGGCCGCTAAGAAATTAAGTTCCCTTATCCAAGTTCTGGGGGGGGGGGAATTTCCTCTTCTTTTATTGTCCCGTTTGTCACTTTGAATCCCCCTCTGCCGGATCCTGTATCCCCAAGGGCTTGCACTATGTTACTTCTGTCCTCCTTTCCATTTGGACCCCCTGGGTGATTTCCCCCTTTACTTTCACATTGCAGTTCAGTTCTTTCTATATAGTGCAAGAAAGCCATGTCGCTCTCACTCACCCTCCTGTTGTCTTCTCACATTATGCAGGCCGGCTTCCAGCTCTTCATCTGGGGTCTGTGAGTCCCCACTGCCCCCTTCTCCGTATACCGCTTTTCTTTTATTTAGGGGGATATTCCCCCTCGCTGGGTCTGCTCCCTCCCCGGTCCCGTACAGCCAGGGGCACTAGCACAAGTCCTGTTCACTTAGGGGAGAACCGGCATCCTCCTCTACCTGGAAACGCTGGCCGGCTTCTCCCCCACCCCAGTACTCCTTTGCGGCCGGTCATGTGGTCCCCTCTGCATCCTCCCAGCTCCAAGCCACCCACCGCTCTGGACGGGATTCACAGCCA